ACGACTTACGGCCGTGTCCATTCATCGATTTTTAGCGATCCGTTCGTATAAATTAATACCGTACATGTGAATTTTCCTTGTCGGCCAGACAAATTAAGAAAGCAATTAATCAAGTACGACTCGTTTTCTCAAGTAATACACCTTACAACCTGTTGCTCTTCGGATTCGCTACACAAATAAAGACCACTTGGTAATCGTAAATCAACTATGGGAAACACTTAACACAGTGCAATACGTATTCGACGTATTCGATTTCGTTTCACCAAGATCGCAACACTGAAACAATATTTGTACTAGGCAATCGATATCAAAACAATCCACAAAGCAAAGACTAAAAATTAATTTAAGCCAGTAAGACACTTCTAGCACCTGTACAATGGGATATTTACTTAATACTAAAAGTCCTTTTGATCCTTTATCTCGTAAATACTGGTTAAGAAAGTCTTGGAAAAATTTTATGTTTAAGGATACAATAGCATCAAAATACATGCTCAATCCACAGGAGATGGTTTAAAAATCTATAAAAGACATGAGTTGTTGGTTGTTGATCTTCGTTTTGCCTTTGATCTTTTTTCTTTTAAACCAAGTTCTAGACCAACATCGCAGTTGCTCAAAAGCTTTCAGAATTGTAATGGCAGTACGTTTAAGAGACATAAAGTGCACATAAAAGTGGAGTTGTTAGTTGCCATGACACTTCCCCTTTCTAGGGGTCAATAAAAACTTGCCGATCGTACGGCTGCCGCTACTTACTGCAACACAAGGTGGTAGAGCAGAGCGAGAGAGCGCTGCGCTGTGGCCAGAAGTATCCTGAAAGGACATCGAGTCTTTCTTCATGTCCGCGGATTCCGAGAAGAAGCGGATCTTAGTGTGTTCTGCCTTTTTAGAATTAGTTTTACGATCGGTAGCGACAATTCGAAATTGCAGCTCCTAATGAACGATTAACTAGACAATCCAATGCGCAAATATATCTAACACAAAACCGAAACGGAAATGAAATTGCTGTTAGCAAAGAAGTACTAATTACAAGATCTTTTCACCAGGCAAATACAATTGAATCTACCACACCGAAAATTCAATTAGAAGAGTCATTAATTAATTACAAATACCTACAAAAAGTTATGGTAGCAAATGAGTTAGAGTAAATTTATTTTGTTAAATTTAATAGTCACAGAAGAAAAGGTAGGGAGAAAGTGAATATAAAGATAGGAAATAGCTTGCGAATGGTTAATTTAGAAATCCAATAAGTATTGCTAGAGGTGTAGATATGTCTGGAGTACGGCTGTGTATGGGTGCGAAACGTAGGCAGGGGGTGTGACGGAATAGAAAAGGTTAGAAACGTTCGAAATGTGGTATCAGCTTACCCTAGATTGAGGATATAAATGAGAAGGTATTATAAACAGTAGCAGAACAGAGGGCGTTACCGAAGCCAATAAAAATAGACATTAAGGACTACTTAGCGACATATTAAAAGCAGAAACAGGAGTTAAGAGGAGTAGAGGTAGACCTGCGTTAGGCTACTGTACACAAACAGTTAAGGATGTGGGATATTCTAGTTAGAAAGGCCTTAGGACTGACGACCTTATGATGGTGATTATTATCAAGTACCATTTCTAAAAAGCTACCAAGAATTGAATTTTTTGGGTTTTGAGATTGGGATGTCGTTTATTTTCCATTTCAGTGCTTAATTTCGTTGACCTCTATTATGAAAACTGCCTAGATCTAATAGTTTTTGAAGAACTAAAGTAGCTTAAGTTCGTTTTGCATAATAGTCTTGTTGAAGATACGTTCGTCTTCACATCGAAAACGGTGTCGAAGCTGGACACGCCCGTCCATTACACAAAGGATTTTTCTAACAGTGCCATCAACGATCACCGCATACGGTGAAGTACCTGTTGATGCCACTACTTCTGCACACGATTAGCCTCCACGGAATGGTTCCAAGAATATCTAATTCACTACATGCTGCTATAAATTTGCTTCCGTGAACCTATACTACACAGCGCTTTCCATCGACTGGAATAGCAATCATATACACACGCATACGCGCAAATTACACGTGGGTTAATATAGTAACATTTTCCGAATTTTTATACTTATGTAAATACCTTTCACGTTCATGGGCAGAAGCTGGTTTTTTACTAGGAAATACTATTATTTCAAACAAACGTTAGAAAAATTTTGGGCGAATGAGAAAGCTAAAAACAACAGAACGAGTTTAAAAATAAACATAAATTCATGCTTTATTAGATTCCCATCAATAGGATGCATGACATCAGTAATTTGAAGATTAAAATCAGGATTTTATATTTTCGGGTTCGTCGCTTAACGCACAATTGATGTCTCCGGCAGATATACCAATTTTAACAACAATTTTGCTTTAAAAATGATATTTCTGATTATGATTTCAAATTTTTGGGTTCGTCGCTTAACGCACTGTTGGTGTCTCCGACAGATATACCAATTTTAACGACAATTTTGCCTTAAAAATGGGCATATCTGATTATGATTTCAAATTATTATTAATTATTTTTCATTAATAGAAAACATTTTACCATAATTTGGAAGACAATATAATCGGAACCATAAAAAAGTTAAATTACAAACTCGTAAGGGTAATTATCTTTTTTTTTGTGTGGCAATCTTCTCAGGGTTCATTTACCAGTGCAAATTTTAGATAATATTGCATGATCATGTATGCATTTATATATATATATATATGTGTGTATATGTATATATGAATGAATGTATGTACATCTAATACACTCGTACATGAAGAGGTCTACGCATCATTGCCTTTAATTTAATGATAAACGTGTATCAGTAGTCACGGTAATGGAAACCCGGAGTCGTATACAACGTCTTTGTATTCGATATTACTTCTCTAAACGTATGCATTTATCATATGTCGTTAAATATTTTGATATCACCGACAATTACGCGAAATCCTCTTGGTATTCGTGCGCAAAAAAGGAAGAACGATTGTAGGATTTATTGCTCGTCAAGCAGGATTACGGAGTGTTATGAGTTGGAATCTCTTAATTAATGGTTCTACAATAATGGTTAATTATTAAAACGAAACAAAAAAGAGATAGACACGTACAGACTGAGAATCTCGATTTCCTTATTGCCTGGTTGATAAATGTCCGTCCTGTTCGGTAATGTTTAGAACCATGCGTCAATCCTATTTCCAGATGAATATGTTAAAAGTTTAGCTGAATTTATGGTAATGTAATAATAATGCATATCAATTATGCCAGACCAGCTAAAGTTTCTGTTATAGAAACGAATGTGTATTAGCAATTGATATTTCGCTTACGAACAATATCAAGATTACAGTGTTAACACCAATACTGCAGAGGATTCGTAAATATGAAACTGAATGTGGACTACAGCGGCCTCATTGTACTGATTTGTCTAATATTACTACAACAAATCCTTGTATGATATCCTTCGAATTAAGAGTATGAATCTTCATACTTCATACATCAACTCCAAGGATATTAGAATCCTGAAAATCTGTTGAGATTGAACCTGCTTACAGTAGGTTGGTTTCCGAGCTAGCTACCACATTTTGTTTATTTACTTCTTTCGTTAATGGATCTAGCCCTAAAACCAACTTACTATCGGCATGAAAGACTAATAATGACTAAATCAACTGAATCTGTTTGATTGAAATCTCAAAAATCTATCTAACTAAGTAAGCCTCAACGGTCCGTTTAGATTGGTAAATGTCAGGCTTGAATGTATTTAGAACGGTAGTCCATCATGATCCACGTTGATCAAAATAAACAAAGAATGTGAAGCATCTATCCAAGGTGGTCCTTCCTTCATAATGAACGTTACCCAAAATAGACAAAGAAAGTACAGCTTCTGTCCAAGTCGGTCCTTCCTTCATAATCCATGTTGACTAAAGTAGACAAAGAATGTGTAGCTTCTGTCCATGGTGGTCCTTCCTTCACAATCCACGCTGACCATACACAAAATGAGTAGCTTCTATCCAACGTCCTTCATAATCAACGTTGACCCGAGTAGACAAAGAATGAGTAGCTTCTGTCCAAGGTAGTCCTTCCTTCACAATCCACGCTGACCATAAACAAAATGAGAAGCTTCTATCCAACGTCCTTCATAATCAACGTTGACCCGAGTAGACAAAGAATGAGTAGCTTCTGTCCAAGGTTGTCCTTCCTTCACAATCCACGCTGACCATACACAAAATGAGTAGCTTCTATCCAACGTCCTTCATAATCAACGTTGACCCGAGTAGACAAAGAATGAGTAGCTTCTGTCCAAGGTTGTCCTTCCTTGACAATTCACGCTGACCATACACAAAATGAGTAGCTTCTATCCAACGTCCTTCATAATCAACGTTGACCCGAGTAGACAAAGAATGAGAAGCTTCTGTCCAAGGTTGTCCTTCCTTGAAAATCCACGCTGACCATACACAAAATGAGTAGCTTCTATCCATCGTCCTTCATAATCAACGTTGACCCGAATAGACAAAGAATGTGTAGCTTCTGTCCAAGGTTGTCCTTCCTTCACAATCCACGCTGACCATACACAAAATGAGTAGCTTCTATGCAAGGTCCTTCATAATCAACATTGACCAGAATAGACAAAGAATGTGTAGCTTCTATCCAAGGTGGTCCTTCCTTCACAATCTATGCTGACCATACAGAAAAGGTGTAGTTTCTGTCCAAGGTGGTCGTTCCTTTATAATCTACGTTGACAAAAGTTGACAAAAAATGTGTAGGTTATGTCCATGGAGATCCTTGGTTACCCACGATAGTCCTTCGTCATCCAAATAAGTGGAAATAGAGAAACATAGAGAGAAAAATTTCGGTCATTTTCCGAAAACCGTTCGAATCACTGGGGAACGTCTGTTCATTTGTTGGACAGTTGGACGTTGTGTGTTGGGCAGTGTTCATCTACTAGGTGGGCAAAGTCGTTGGCCTTTACTTTGCTGTCTACCTGCTTGCTTGCCTGCCTGCCTGCTTGCTTACTTGGCCGCTTGCCGTCAGCTTTCCCCGCGATTCACCTGCTGCTGCGGCTGTGACCACGGTGCCGCCGTAACGAGATGGGAGTAGTCGCGTTACCAGTCACCGGCCACAGGTCTCCGTGGAGTTGAAGAAGCAGCGACAAGAGATACCGTACAGAAGACGTAGTCCCGATGGTCAGTCAGACTTCGAGAGAGCGGACAATTAGAGTGAGGTTCAGTAACGGACAAACAGACTGACGGAGCGTGAACTACACGACAATCCGGTACCGGTATCAAAAGCCAAAAAGTACGAAAAATATTTACTATTGATTGTTGATATATTTTTTTTTGATCATCTAGAGTTGATTGAAAGTCACCGGGTCGCTTTTATACTGTTTTGTTATTGTTTCATATTGTATAATAGTATTGTTGTACTTCCGGTCCGTGTGTTCTTCCGTTTGTACTAGTGACTTACAATAAGTGACCTGTGATTTGTTCAAGTCCATCGTCCGCATGTTGCCACCAAGATTGTGCTCCTTACTGTCACGGAATCTTCCTAGGTAATGAAATCACCGATTGCCTGACAGCAAAAGGTGAGACAACTGCTAAATTTGCAAGCACCACGCAAACATTATCTAAATCCAACCACTTTACTGTATTTGTAAAGCTCTAATATCGATACCAGCGTTTAAACCACTATAAGACCTTATCGGTTTCTTGGGATAATAGCGGGTCTACTAAAAGTCAAAAATGACACGGATTGATAGCAGAGGACCCTTACAAGGGCTACATACATTTGCAAACGGTTTGGAAAATTTATAAACGACTATTATGATATTTGAAGTAATTTAACTATTCGGGTTCGTCGCTTAACGCACTGTTGATGTCTCCGAGAGATTAACAATTTTAACAGTAATTTTGCGAGTAAGGGTAATTGATAGATTAGGAATTGTGTTAAAACCATAAAATACAACATGTATACAATAAAATAACATGTCAAAAAGTCTCTGAAATCAATAAAAATTGCTAAATGTTCATACATTCAACTGTTGCTGCCCCAAAAACCATTCCCGTTGTCTTTTACTAGCTCATATATGAGTGGTTAATGATCTTATTCAAAAATATGTGATCATTTAACTTTATTAATGTTTCCTTTGGCTATTACCTTCTCAATATCGCTTCCCAAAGGAAATAATCATTTGGATTTTCTCACAATTTTCTTGTATTTATTCTAGACGCAGAGTAGCTACGATCTTATCTGAATATGATTAATTATTATTAAAAGTAAGCCAAGGGATAGAAACGGCATAGTCATTGTTACTTCTAAGCAATTTAATTTACTGTTAGATAGGTTACTTTTAGCGTTGAAAGCAAAAACGTTACCTCTCGAAAACTTCCAAGTGTAAATATCTGATTTACAAAAGATTTTACTCGTAATTTTTATTACCATTTGGGTTTGGGTTTGCGCCTTAATTTGCTTTAGCAAATGTGTTTGCCGATTTCTGAAAACCTCTCGAGAATATCTTACGTTCATTACTAAATGTTTATACTATTCTCGGTTGTACAAATCTACCATTCATACATGCTCTCTGTTAAATTATCTCCATAAGTATTACAGTTCATATTTGCTTGTCTAATTAGCGTCCATCGTCTTGACTTGAGTAACAAAAGATGGCACACTGTGTACGCAAAACTAAAGCACAATGACATAATACATACATATATGTGTAAAACAATTTTTGCGAAATGATTAAGTGAAGAGGGCTTTGCTACTTACAATGAAGACAAAAAGTAGATTTTTGGTAGCGTACCTTTCTGTGAAGATTGTCGTCGGTTTCCGGAAACCAATGTGGACCCTGGAACAAAATTAATTGAAAAATATTAATACAGAAAAGGTTAAACAATTGGTTTTGAATTATAACTACAACAAAGTCGTAAACGTATAAGAATGTAGTAAAGGACAAAAATTTAATCATTGCCAATATGATATGAAGAAAAGTCTTTTTTTTTGGCTTTAATTTAATGACAAAAATTGTAAAGTCAGTAGTCACTACTCTTTTAGAGTTTCCACCATGGATGTAGGTGAAATTCTTATCAATTTTTTTTAAATAGCTTTTTATAATTAGCTAATAATCGACTTGATGCAGCGGTTTAGAACATGGGGGACATCCCCGGTTCAACTTTCGATTCGTCTGCCTTGATCCAACTTTTTTTACAGTTTCCTTGGGTAATTGTCTCATTTTTCTCTCCCTAATCACCAGTACGCATTCCCACAATCCCTAAAAGAAGACAAAAGTACCCTCCGCCCTACAGTCCGGTTTTGCGCTGCAGTATAAGTCGTAGCATTAGTAACTGGACCCAGAAGTAGTAGTTGGCATTTGTTAACAGTTGAACTTGCTTATCTTTGAGGCGATAAACTAAATCAACTTTGAGAAGAGATGGTTATCTAGTGCAAAGTGTATGATGCGCATTGTTTACATTTGTTTCGTTTCATTGTCAGCATATAGTTAGTAACAGAAGCGCGAGCACACACTTAAACATATTTTATGTATGCTCTTAGTGAGGTTATTCCAGTGAATGAAATAATTGCGACGTTTAACCTCGAAAAAACCACTTCTGGTTGGACAGTAGTAAAACATCCGCAAAACCACACACCGCACCGCGCCGGCTAAATGATTTTCACGCTTCCACGCGGCAATACCACGGATTTATATACGATCTAGACCTCAAATCAATCAACCGCAAAGTGGAGTAGCAAATTGTAGAAACAATTGCGTATGTATGTGCACACACACACACGACCACAGTGTAGTTTTGTATGCAAACATTCGTTAACTATACGAGGAGCGCGCACTTTCTACTTACAGTCATTTGTTTTCGACCACGCCAACTCGATATTTATGCGTGCGATAAGGGGGACGCGGAAGTGGTTACAGATAAGCGAATACCAACTCAATTACCTCTTAGAATCTATTATTGATATGAAATATCTAATAGAAACAGTGAAAAGTACATTATTTTGACAGGATCTTTGCAGTTTAGTTCTTTACGACAGATTTGTGTAAAATTCCTGACATTTTGGTATTGACTATTCGATCAATCAATCAAGAACGGTTTGCCATATCAGATTCGTCTTGTTTTAGATAATATTACCCGTTAATACCCAGTAGGTACCAACTGATGGTTTCAGGAAACATATGAGAAGGTTTCAGCGATAAGATAATGTTATATTCTGTAAAAACTGATTAAGCAATAAAAAGTTTTGCTCTAATTTTACTTTGATGACCTTTAGTTCTCTGCGTAACCGTTCTTTCAGTCATCTCTCGAAATCACCACAAAAGACATTACAAATTATCAAACATAACAACAATCTAAACGTTTCTAAGAACCTTGGTTATCATTATAAACTGCTGCAACGGTAAAAACACGGAAATCAAAATAAAATTTAGTTTAATAATAATCCACAGTACAATGGCTTCTTGAGAGATCAATTTTTGCTTCTTAAAGTTTTCCAGAAGATCGAGTTTTAATAGACAAGGTTTTTGGTAACAGATAGGGGTTAGATACCGAGGGTTAATGTGTCCTGTTATTTCTTTAATTCCTTTTTCCACAGTATGTATACTTAATTGAATTCCCGACATTATGTTAGGACAAAAGGATGGAGGATGGGAGTTAAATAGTTGGAAAATTTTGTGGATGTCGTTGAAGTGTTATACCACGCTATTAGGAATACACAGACGGACCCTAGACAAAAATTTTCAATCTCTCAGGGTCCTTCAGAGTCTTTCAGCGTCTCTGAGAACGTCACTCACAGTCTCTCAGTTATTGCCTAGGTGTTTTCATGGATCTCTCACAGTCTCTGTATGAGAGACTCGAACGATAAAATTGTTAATTCAGATTCGAGTCTCTCACAGAGAGACTGAATGAATAAAACTGAAAAATTGAGAAATTCGAGTCTCTCATAGAAAGACTGGGATCCCTGAAATATGTTGAACTTGGAAAATTTTAACCACGTCTCTCGAGACACCACTTACTGAGAGATTCGAGTCTCTCGTTCAGACTGAATACGAAATGAGGATCTCTCTATGAGAGACTCGAGTCTCTCCTTCAGAGACGCTAAACTGTTTTTTTGACAGTCTCTCTCAGCGACACCAGAGAGACTCGATGAGAGACGGAGATTTGAGTCTAGCTTTCAGAGACTCTGAGAGACTGAAGATTATTATCTCGAGTAAGTACGTATACTATAGCAAAAATGGATCTCTCACAATCTCTGTATGAGAGACTCGAACGATAAAATTGTTAATTCAGAGATTGGAGTCTTTCACAGAGAGACTGAATGAATAAAACTGAAAGATTGAGAGACTCGAGTCTCTCGTAGAAAGACCGGGGTCTCTGAAATACGTTGAACTTTATTTTAAATTTTAACCATGTCTATCGAGACACCACTTATTGAGAGATTCGAGTCTCTCATTCAGAGACTGGATACAAAATGAGGATCTCTCTATGAGAGGCTCGAGTCTCTCGTTCAGAAACGCTAAACAGTGTTTTTGACAGTCTCTTTTAGCGACACCAGAGAGACTCGATGAGAGACGGAGACTTAAGTCTAGCTTTCAGGGACTCTGAGAGACTGAACACTTTTATCTCGAGGATCCGCGGAGATATTACGCAATAAATAAGGACCTGTGTTGTGTGACTTGGAAAGGACCAGTGCGTGATTTTTGTAGTGGATAATTTACTGTTCCGTCTCTGACGTAGTATAATTCGACCGGTACGGCGAGGCGGCTTTTTGCTGCTTCATGTCCGTGGTTACATGTAAGTACGAGTTCTGATGCGTGCTCGCCAAAAATTGGCGAGCCGAACAAAAAAAGCACCGTCGAGTCGTTTTAACGTCACAAAGCTTCTTTTGTTTTCGATGCGAATTAATAAATAAGCGACTTAACTTGACAAGTTTTTTTTTTCTGCGCGGCGGCCACCTGACAAGGGATTATTTTCTTAATCTTATTCCGGCCACGTCCAAATTTTCAATACACCTGCGTCTGATCATGCGTCTCTCCCCGAGGGCGAAATTTTTTGCTTCAGTTCTTCGGGATCAGCGATTCGCTGTACGTATAATTTTAACGCGAGACAATCTGCGATCCATGAACGTTGCGTTCGTTTTGTAAATAATGATAAAACTCGAAAAAGAAGACCTCTATTAATTATAAAAATTACTACTTCAATTTCGAATACAATTACAGTAAACGCTTTGATATACAAAGTAATTAGTTGTCGTAATAGTTTAGAATGATTGACCAGCGATTATCACCCGAGATAAAAATGTTCAGTCTCTTAGAGTCTCTGAAAGCTAGACTCGAGTCTCCGTCTTTCATTGAGTCTCTCTGGTGCCGCTGAGAGAGACTGTCAAAAACACAGTTTAGCGTCTTTGAAGGAGAGACTCGAGTCTCTCATAGAGAGATCCTCATTTCGTATTCAGTCTGAACGAGAGACTCGAATCTCTCAGTAAGTGGTGTCTCGAGAGACGTGGTTAAAATTTTCCAAGTTCAACATATTTCAGGGATCCCAGTCTTTCTATGAGAGACTCGAATTTCTCAATTTTTCAGTTTTATTCATTCAGTCTCTCTGTGAGAGACTTGAATCTCTAAATTAACAATTTTATAGCTAGAGTCTCTCATACAGAGACTGTGAGAGATCCATTTTTGCTACAGTATACCTACCTACCCGAGATAAAAATGTTCAGTCTCTCAGAGTCTCTGAAAGGGAGACTCGAGTCCCCGTCTCTCATCGAGTCTCTCTGGTGTCGCTAAGAGAGACTGTCAGAGAAACTGTTTAGGGTCTCTGAACGAGAGACGCGAGTCTCTCATAGAGAGATCCTCATTTTGTATCCGGTCTATGAACGAGAGACTCAAATCTCTCAATAAGTGGCGTCTCGATAGACATGGTTAAAATTTTCTGTGTTCAACATATTTCAGAGATCCCAGTCTTTCTACGAGAGACTCGAGTCTCTCAATCTTTCAGTTTTATTCATTCAGTCTCTCTGTGAGAGACTCGAATCTCTGAATTAACAATTTTATCGTTCGAGTCTCTCATACAGAGACTGTGAGAGATCCATAAAAACACCTAGGCAATAACTGAGAGACTGTGAGAGACGCTCCCAGAGACGCTGAAAGGCTGGAAAGAGACTGAAAATTTTTGTCTAGGGCAATCAATATGTTTTTGGTTAATAGCAGTATACTGCCATCTTTTGACTGATAAAAAATTTCTATTTATTTTGGTTTTTATTTATTTTCGTTGTGTTTTAAAACAGTATTTGCAGAATAAAAAAAAAGTGCGGAAATACGTATAAATACATTTACATTAAATTAGGAAATCGTAAGTAGAAACATAATCCCAATAACCAATTAAAATCAACAATCTCGAGTTTACATTAAGCCTAATTAGTAATGAGTAAGGTTAATATCATTCTGCACATCGTATTCTTGACCATTATTACAGTTATTAAATCGTTCCGGTTTTAATCCTGAGCAGCGCAAAGAACAATGGGGATTAATACTATGGCAAACAAGTAATTGTTATGTACTTGTTACTGTTTGGATTGCTTTAATAACTCATTAGCAGAGTAACGAAACATCAAAATCCGTGTATATTGTAACCACAATTGACTGTAGTAGATGAAAACGAGTTAGTCTAACTTTTAGGGCGAGGAATCTTCATTTCAAACAGTACACTACATATGATTAATTATGCGATTTAATTAAATTGAATTAGACAGCGGCAGAGAAATCACTAAGCAAGTGTTATTATAATAAACCATCACCATGTGCTGATTCTGACAATTAATTTTAAAGAAGTGGAATAGAAATAACGAATTGCTGATAATGATTTTCAACACCATTAGGATAAATTAATATAGAAGTCAACTGATGAAGATAGAAGGCATTAATAAAAGAGACGTTTTGGTAGAAGTGAAGATTGATTGACTATAAGCTATCGTACAAACGCAACTGATGTAATGCTGAAATCATCACCGTCTACACAAGATCCCTGAATGGGTCACTAAACTTGACTGATGACTGTCTTTCTTTAGTTCACCATTCACATTTTGATAGAAACAATTTGCTACACCATTTATCTAAAATAGGAATCCCGAAAGTGCTTAATACATACATAGGCGAGATAAGTTAGTAGAAGGTATAGTGAGACAAATATTACATGCAGAAATAGAAGTTAGGAGGGGTAGAGATAGACTTAGATAAGATTATTATTCGCAAATAGTTAAGGATGTGGGTTGTTCTAGTTTTAGGGAAATACGAAGATTAGCCCAGGATAGGAAAAGAGTGGAGGTACGTGTCCAACCAGTCTTAGGACTGAAGACCCTATGATAATGATGATGAACAATTGTTTCTCTAAAACATTGGCTTCTTCAGGTGAAGATATTCTTATTGTAAACTATTAATAAATTTTTTTTTTAAAAATTTCACTTTTTTTTTCTTTAATTGATAGTGAGCGAGGTTGGTACGTAAGAGCTAAATTAAGAAAAATTTTTTGGTAGTATTCCTTTTAACTAATGTTGTTTGGGAACTATGCTCAAAAGCCTGAGAGTAGGGACCTAGAATAGAATCGGTGTTCTTCCACTTAATTGTAGGTACGTCCGGTAACTTTAGTTCAAGTCGGACCGCCCCTACCGCTACCCCTATTTGTACCACTGTCGTTAAAATTAACAATTCTAATAAGGCAATGATTTTGTGGACTCGTATAACTGCTTTTAGTCACTGATAAAACTTCCACTGTAAATCAATCAGTTGTTTATTGATTGTAATAATAAATTTCACCGGAAATTGAACATGATTTTCTCAAGTGTTCAGTTCAATACGTACATCTCGATTTTCATTAAAATGCAAAGTGTTTAGAAGAAGTGGGAGTTCTATTTGTGGAAAAATGGAATCCTGTTGAATAATAAATCAAGAAAAACACACTTAATGTCCAGTTTATTGAACCCTTAACACCCTATCAGTAAAACATTTAAATGTTTTTCATGATTTTTTTATTCAATATGATTGCAATTTTCATAAACTAAAGGCTGAAGCAACTATACTTAAAACGCAATCCTTTTGGAAGTGAACAAGTTATTTGACCAGCTTCTTAAATACTCTAAATTTTCAAAAGAATTTTTCCTTTAAGTGTTTACAAATTAGCTGAATGGAATCATGATTGGACTGTAAAACATAATACTCAGNAAAGAAGAAAGCATAACATTATTTTAAACTTTTAATACACATAATAAGTAATTTATCACTGTAGTGTGCTCTCATTTTGTTCGATCATATTAATCCGTTCGTTGGATTCTTTGAAATTTCTACATTCCTACCAATGTAACTCGTACAGGTAATCAATGAGGTAGATGGAGATTTTGTACTTTATTTATGAATCCAAATTTGAATCTCAAAGTTTATTCACTTTAAGTAAGAAACTGTAATGGAAAACTATTTGTTACTATTTTTACGATATATGTAGTTTAAATTATTTAAACAAAATTGCCAGCCTTAAACTCGCAGGTGATGATAATTCTAAATAATTATCTGTTTTGCATAAATACAAACTTGCACCTAAACATACACAAAATGTCGTGACGAGATTGAAAGTATCATATTATTTTACGTTATTATTAACTAATTACCCTGTCACCGTTCCAGCTACGGTATTTCTCTTCATGCAATACCCGTTTGCTTATGAGGCGTCTTATCGATTAATTAAAGCTTCTATGCATATAAATGGCTTTAATTACAACGCTTAATGTCGCTGAATATTATACACTTTACGAAACCGTAATATACCCATCTTGCATCAACAGAAATAAATTTGTTTATTTCAACACAAACGCACTTATTATTGATGATATATTTATTGCAAAAAGGCATTTTTACTATAAGTGTTGTTCTACGAACTACATCATACTTTATACCTATTAGCTTTTTCTTTCTATATTCTCTAATTCATGCTATACTCTAATTCAAATGCACTTAATTCTGCTCGCTGCAAGTACATAAAGACATATTTCAATGAATCTATAACTCTATCTCACACCCTACTCAAAACGCACTCGGATGCAACTCGCCACAAACACATAATGCATTTTAAGTTGACTTTCATCTTTATTTGTTCTCATTTGTAGCTCAAACTGACCGCAAACACGTTATGTCTAACATATTACCACCAGTCTCTAATTCCATTTTACGCTCAGCCCAAAAGGCGCTCGGTTGCGACTCGCCGCAAACAGAGAATGCACTTTGTATACCTGTTTAATCATTCATAAGTACCCACCCATAGTTTTCAACTGACCACAAACACGTAATGCCTAACATATTACCACCGGACTCTAATTCTATCTAACTAACACCCAACCCAAAACGTGCTCGGTTACAACTCGCCACAAACTCATAATACATTTTATATTCCTTTTGACCTTTAATTAGCACTCATCTATAGTTCAAACTGACCGCAAACACGTAATGTTTAACATAGTATCACCGCTCTCTAATTCTTTCTAACACCGAACCCAAAAGATGCTCGGTTGCAACTCGCCACAAACACATAATGCGTCTTATATGCCTTTTAATTATTAATTAGTACCCATCTATATTTCAAACTGACCGCAAACACGTAATGTTTAACATATTACCACCGGTTTCTAATTCTATCTGACACCCAACCCAAAACGCGTTCTGTTGCAACTCGCCATAAACACATAATGTATTTTATGTTCCTTTTGATCTCATTTCTAATTGAAACCGGCTGTGTGTCACTCCCCACAAACACCTACTGTTTAAAATATTACCACTGTTCTCCAGTTTTCTTTAGCGTGTAACTCAGACGTGCTCGGTTACAACTCGCCACAGACAGAACCATCCCTTAAATTCTATAATTATTTTGGTACTTCTGATCACAAAACTAAAATAGAATATGAAACACACTGTACACAAAGTAGATAAGATCGGTCACGAATAAATTGTAGTCTGAGTCTCTATACTGTTGTCCTAGTTGATTGAGGACCCTGGAAGTTGTACTTCGATTCAATAAATTTATATTTAGTTATAACGTTAAGAACCAATTGCACTTGTTAAACTGAAGTCGGATCGTTATGTTTATAAATTGCATAATAAAAGCCATAATGTAAAGCATACGGTTAGCGGTTTATTAAGATTATTATTTACTGTCTCCTTTTTCAAAATGGCTTTACGTTACAAAAGTGTATGTTATAAATTAAATTAATGTTGTCGCAGCTGATTTACATTTTTAACTCGGGCAGGAACTATATACGCGAAATAAATAGCAAAAAAAGCCAGGAGCATATAGGTATATTTGCCGATTTTACACACTAAGGTGTCGTAAAATTTGTGCTGTCAAACCCAGCGACTGAATATAAATAATATAGGGAGATCAAGACAATTTTTCATTATTAAACACTTTCTATAATACACGTTTACGAAATTTAAAAGATTATGGTTAACCTACCTGGTTTACTAACTTACTATTTGTACTTAACTATGAAAACTTTCACCGCATTCATTTCACAATATTTTTCAGATTGAATATAATTTATCTATATATAACTACTAGGTAATTTTTAACATTTTCCATTTTTTCACGAATTTTTATCCGTTTTTTAAACTCTAAATACTAATTTGATTCGACGACTATTATTTTATAGTAGGTATCTAAATTTGATTACCTTCATATAAAATAACATTTAATTAATAAACTAAACGTTTGTCGAACAATTCAATTACGATCTTTTTAATTAATTCACAATGGTCATCTTTTATGTAGGCACATGTTATTTCAGTATATTCAAATTAAACAGTCACCTAATTGGTCACATTAAATGCTAAGATGGTAAAGTCATAAAGAATTAATTGTTCTAACGTCTAAGATATCGAAAGCTCGGTAGAAGTTATAGGGCAATATATAATGCAAATTGCTGAACACCTGGCAAAAATACGATTTAATTGTTTCTAGGTAACCAACGTTAAAATAAATAATATATTAATAAATAACGCACAAAAAAGTGTTTTATAAAAATGTTTATTAGATTCTTTTGATAAATGCGGTTTCTACAACATTATTCTCTTATAAAAATAATAGCATAAATTGTAGCACATTAAAATATCCATTTTTTAATATAGATGTGTGTGGGTCTCTTTCTGCGATGTACCTTCCCATTTTTCTCATCATTTCTGTCATCCCCTCTTCATTTTTCGCAATCAATACTATATTATCCACGTAAGACACTGTTCATAGTTTCTTCTTTCCTATGACTACGTCTCCCATTTGAATTCCCCACGTTGTATTTTCTAGATCTGTAAAAGATAGGTTGAAAAGAGCTGTACTTAAGGGACATTCTTGTCTCACCCCGTTAATCGTGTTAATTGTTTCAGAAATTTCTTCACTTGAAATGATGAAATAAAAACAAATCAACTTTAACCTGTAATACGTTTTCTCTATAATAATATGCATGTCGTGTCTTTTCTGGTCTTAAATTGGTATTAATTGCCTATTTTTTTAATTGCAGGGCCCAACAAAAATGTGGACCACATATGTAAATCCAGGACGAAGAATTTCTACGTCATTTGAATGTCTTGTCTACTCAATATTAGTAGTAAGTGTGAATTTTAAATACAAAATCTCTAGCAAAGAGGATTTTTATTAAAGTGCCGAACACGTAGATAGATGAAAGTAATAATCCATCAGCGCACAATTATCAGGACGCGCACATTCAGTCCTTTCTAATATCCAATATTCGTATTTCCTGAAAACTACATCACCCCACAGCACTAATAATTATTTTCTGGCAGTAAATCACTAGCTTCACAGCCTCCCTCTAGTCCTGTTTCTGCTTCTAATATATCTCTAATCAAACCTTCATGTAACAGAAGGTGTCCTACCATCACATCTCTCCTTTTCCTTATAATTTACTTCTACATAGCGTCCTTGTTTCTTGTTTTCATAACAACTCTTTCCAATACCTAGTTATTTCTAATCATTCCCCGGAATTTTCTTTTCATATTTCAAGCGCTTCTAACTATTTCCCATTCTGGTAGAAGATTTTACTCATACACCTAAGGCTAAATTCCAACCAACGATACTATGCGGAATGAAGAGTTTATTTTAAGTTAATAATTGCGCAGACAGTAATTCAAACACACAAAGATTCAATAACGGTTTCTTTGTTGTAGTACAAACTTATTGGTTTAATGAATATGTTATTTCTTTCACAATAGAAACGGTTGCGTGATGTGATGAACATTGCCTACATCCATTTAGATTCTCTTAAATCTATTATTAGAAGCCCAACGGCTATACAATAAAATTAAACTTTATATCAGTAGGAAAACAATTAGCTAATTGCAAAAAAGACAAGCCGCTCAATGTCCCGGTATTTTTCATTGTGCAACAAAAACTAGAGAGTAAAATAATTTTAATCTTACACGTTCAGCTTACATCGCGGACATATGGTTAGATAGACAGATGGCAGATGCCATACTTGGATTCATGATTAATTTTTGAAAATTATCTTCTGCAGTTTATGAGAACATCTCTATTGTATTGTATGACTTTTCGTATTCAGGTTAATTAGGAAACTATTTGTATGAACGAAATCCAAAATTTTCTGCTCAAGGTTTCACAATAATCAAAGACTTGATTAATTTGATAAAAACATATTTCTGTAAAGTGAAATCTAAGAAACTTTTAAAAAAACTTTTGGATGTTTCATTTCCACCAGCCACTAATGCTGGTAGGCGGGCAGTCCCTCCGGACTACGCCGGAAGGTAGGGCGGAAGGCCCTCTTCAGCCTGCTTTCAGGAATCGTGGGAATGGGTGGGTGGTGGTTCGGGTGAGAAAGATGAGACGGACGAAATGAAGACAGAAGAGAATGAAAGATTATCTGTGAAATATTACTGCCCCAGCATTTGCCTAAGTGATCCAAGGAAACCACAGAGAAACTTAGACCAAGGCAGACGGACCTGGAATCGAACAGGCGTCTTCCCGAATGCTAAGCAATGGTCTAAACTTCTTTGTCATGCCGCTCGGTGGAAATCTAAGACATGCTATTATATTCATCGAATAGTACGTACGTATCTAATTTTATACCCTTAGAGATGGGATATTAAAAGAGTACATCCATGCGGTATGACTCTTCCAGTCGAATTGAGAATGAATCTCCTTGTTTTCGAAGTTGGTTGAAAACCTAAAAGAGTTCAAAAGAGATGGATTCAATGTTTTGAAAAGTTGTTCTGAACAGGAGAACAGAATGGCTGAAATCGCTAAAGATCCCGAAATATTCTCTAAAAGTCTCTGTTTACACTCAGAATCTGACGTGTTCTAGAACCCTGGAGGTCTGTTTTGGATTCAGCACCAAAAGATCTTTATAAAGTTAGTCTGAAGCTTTTCGATAACGTCAGAAATTACCTATGAATTGGTTAAAATCTAAAAGAGTTCAAGATGGATGGATTGTAGCACCCTGGAGGTCTGTTTTGGATTCAGCACCAAAAGATCTTTATATAGTTAGTCTGAAGCTTTTCCATAACGTCAGAAGTTACCTATGAATTGGTTAAAATCTAAAAGAGTTCAAGATGGATGGATTGTAGCACCCTGGAGGTCTGATTTGGATTCAGCATCAAAAGATAGTATGAAACTTTTTATTAACAGTCAGAAAATAGCCAAGAATTGGTGGAACCGTTTAATTATGACGATCAAAGATTAATTCTTTTGTCGTATTAAATTGATAAATAAACGAAGAGTGTGTACGCTGGTTCTTTTGGTGAATCCGTTTGCAATTTTCAGAGCGTGGGAAGTATATACGCGTCAAGCAGATCAAGCAGGCTGATGGCATTTGGTGAAAGTATCTCGAGCATTAGTCCATTCAGGCGTAGCAAGCAACATCATAGATTTGATCGTGTCATGTTTGTAAACGTTTTCGCACACGCATACACATCAGATTATGAAGAACGATTTAAACGTATTATTTAAATAAAAGCTCAAATCTAATAGACACCTTCGATTGACACCTAAAAGGAAGAGTCACAACAGAAAATATTTTCATTTTCTTCATCACATCATATTATTATCGTCAACGCCGATGAAGATAATGTAATAAAAGTTCGAAACGGTTTTTCTGTCACTCTTCGGGTTTACGACAGCGCCAGTAACACCTCCGATTATGACAGGTAAATTTCAGTGTAAATGACGATCATGATGGATAGATTTAACGTTTCCTATTAGAACTTGTTGTTTTTGCTATCGAAAAACGCCAGCGCGAATGGTTATTGAAAAGGATAGGAACAAGTTATGCTAGTACTTATTTGGTAAACAAGTAATAATCCGATAAGTATATTTTACGCGGCCGTCAGAATGCTGGCATATCTTGCTTCTTGCGATGACTCTCTCCTTGATTTATATTCTAACTCCAAACACCGATGGATAGCACTCAACATTGCGATATCCACGTCTCATGCTTGATTTCAATCTCTGCACCGATACAATTATTTATTTAAAATTTTTTAATTACATTCTAAAAATTATTGGCCACCGAGATAAGAAAAAGAGGCAATATCTTCTTCTTTAAATGTAAAAGAATCTTGTGTATAATATGCACTTTTAGAATCCAAAATTCATTAGAATCCAAATCATCCAAATCAGAAAGAGAGAGTATGTAATAGTTGGATAATTCACTGTTGGTGGTCTATCTTGATGACTTGGCTGTTGTCACAATTTCTTAGAAATATTGTAGTAGAAATCAAAATCAAAAAACTATTCATAACATCCTCATCAAAAAGGAAATTCATGTTCATTTGGAACTTCTTGCTAACAGAAGAAGACAGTTCTTTAATCGTCCAAATCTTCCAAACCAGAAAGAGGGAATCAACACATGTGACAGTTGGATATTTCACCATTCCTACCATGAGTGGTATGTCTTGATGACTTGGCTGTTGATACAATTTCTTAGAAATATTGTAGTACAAATCAAAATCAAACAACTATTCATAACATCCTCATCAAAAAGGAAATTCATGTTCATTTGGAACTTCTTGCTAACAGAAGAAGACAATTCTTTAATCATCAAAATCTTCCAAACCAGAAAGAGAGTATCTACATGTCACCATTCCTACCATTTGTGGTATGTCTTGATGACTTGGTAGTCGACACAATTACTGAGAAATATTATAGTACGAGTCAAAGTCAAGCAGCTATCCAAATCGAAAAGAAAATCCATAATTATTGAATCATCTTGGTGACTTAGAAAAACGCAATTTTTTAAAAAATATCGTGATACAAACAATCGTACAGACTTAAAGAGTACATTGGTATTTAAAGAATGACATCGGTCGTCCATTATTCTCTTCGCTCAACAAAAAACTTCGCTCGGTCGCCTCGGTCTTTCTTCATTTAGATGCTTTTATAAATATTTAGGCCGAATTACGTCTACGGCTCATCTTTTGGTTGTGAGCGCCGCAAAACACTCACACACACACAAATACTCCGGCTAATAACTGGTCGTATGAATCAAATGTTCGTTGATGTCAGCAGTCAGGTGTAAATCTGTTGCCGTAAATAATTGCCAAATAAAAAGAAGAGTCGGAACTGAAAGGGGGAAAGAGCGAAGATAGTGAGTGAACTGCTGCTGCCGATGATGATGATGATGATGACACGCCGATGCCGCTCTTCTGCTCATCCATTGGTTCCGTTATGTGATTGTTGCATCACCTTGACCATTGACTTGGAGAAACAGCGGGCCCAACGGAGAGCAGCTGGCCGGTGCGATGTGTAAAAGCCAACTCGTCGGGCACAAACCTCATCGGCGGTCTACTAACCCACTAAATAAACTTAAAATCGAGGATATCGTTAAGACGCTCGTTGGAATTTCACTATGACGCTCTTTGCTTCTCGTTCGATCCACATAATAGCATACCAGCCGCTGGTCGGTTCGTTGGTCTTGACCTCCAGTATTGCTCCGCGGTCTGCTAACATTAATTGCAAGGGCCCTTGTTGTTGTAAAAATCTTCTGTTGTATAAAGATGATACGATCAATATGGTCAATTTAATTAAGGGATCAATGAAAGATCGATTAAGGATCGATAAACAGTTCGAAATTTGTACAGTACTACAGTATTTTTTCTCTCAAAAGAGCTATTCACGCTCTAGCTACTAAAGGTCATTTTTTTGTACCAAATTCCTGCACAAAATTCACAGTTAACAATCATGCAGGTCTATATTAAAATTAGCCATTTTCAGCCAACTAGTGAAGCAATTCTTTTACAATATTCATATATCCAAAACCGCTTTGATACTCCTCTGTTTCCTGGATCCTTTCTAAATAGACACGGCTTTAATCTAGATTCTAGGTTTGCTGGTCTTGGACGTAATCTTTTGAAGCAAATTATTCACTAGAAACTGATGAGTCCAGACAAACAAAATTGTCAAAACATTCTTAATAACCCTCTTACTAAGTTTTACTTTCAATACTTCATAAAACTTCACAATGGAATCTTCTGTTCTAACTCAAAGTGTCTCTCTGGAATTCTTCTTATAATAGGAATCGTTAGCTAAAATATACTTCTTAAACAGTGGTCATGGAAGGCCTAAGCAAGTTAGGATTCCACATTAAATTAACTAGAAGGTCTCATAACCATAGTACTTAAATTGCTTCTATTTCCAGATAATGGATTTGGTGATGGGTGGAAGCGACCTTTGGCCCTTGGAACGCCCAGAGGGCATGCCTTCGATTCAGTCGTTGGAAGTGATGTGTGGCAAAGACCACATGGATGTTCATTTGACCTTCTCGCAGCCTTTCGAAGGAATAGTCTCCTCCAAAGGCCAGCATGGCGATCCAAGATGCGTCTATGTACCTCCATCAACTGGACAAACATTCTTCTCCTTTAGGATAGCTTACTCTAGGTGTGGTACCAAGCCAGACTTGAACGGACAATTTTACGAAAACACCGTCGTTGTGCAGTACGATAAAGACCTTTTGGAGGTATGGGACGAGGCAAAACGGCTAAGGTGTGAATGGTTTAATGATTATGAAAAGACTGCATCTAAACCACCCATGGTCATTGCAGATTTAGACGTGATTCAGCTGGACTTTAGAGGTATTTGTGTATTTAGTTGCGGTAAACATTCTCCCTTTTAGTACTCATCGCAAAAATAGTAAAATTTACGCAAGACGATTGTACTAACAATAGTAATTCCTATGCAAGTCCCTCCCAGTTGTTTCCATTGTGTTCTCGCGAACAATCAACGCAAATGTGAACAGAAACAAATAATTATTGCCTCGACTTTATGCAAATAAATGAGCGGCAGATACTGTTCATGTTTAGTCTATAGTTATCTAAATTTTCCAAGAATGTTTCGGCCGTTTTGTTAGTCAAATCAGTAAAATCAAACCTGACAAAGTCTTCAAGCAATGCGTTAGTGCAAACTCATTTTCTCACCAGTGCAAGCACGTAGTATTTATCACGTTTCTAATCTAAACACTATTTTGCGTATGTATTATCTGACTTTAACCAGACGGAAGTCGAGGATCTAGTTTGTTATTTAGTTAGTTAGTTCGATAGTTAAACTGATTCTAATGAACAAGCTTAGAGTTTATAGAAGGTGTAAAAAGCATTTACAGTTTTCGTAAGTAGGAGAAAACAACTTCATGGATTTACTCATTAAAATTCTAATTAAATCGGAAATAACGCTTTATTGATTACGTTCTATCCACCTACACAAAGATCTCAGTACGTAGTGCCGTGTGCAATTCCTACTTTAATAGCCTAAAAAATGATAATTTTAAATAACGCGAAAATCGATTATGAGTGAAATTGTATTCAATGAATCAAGAATCTTACAAATCCATCAATAGTGGTCATTACAGTTTTCACGTTCTTTACAACATTATGGATTAAAATACTTTTCACTCATCATCATCATAAGGTCATCAGTCCTAAGACTGGTTGGACACGTACCTCCACTCTTTCCTATCCTGAGCTAAACTTCGCATTTCCCTAAAACTAGAACAGCCCACATCCTTAACTATTTGCGAACAGTAATCTAATCTAGGTCTACCTCTACCCCTCCTAACTCCTGTTTCTGCCTCTAATATGTCTCTGACTAGACCTTCATGCCTGAGAAGGTGTCCTACCAACCTATCTCGCCTATTTTTTATTGACTTCCATAGAGTCCTCTGTTCTCCTATTCTTTCCAATACCTCTTCATTTCTAACCTTTTCTACCCACGATATCCTCATCATCCGCCTATAACACCACATTTCGAACGCTTCTAACCTTTTCTTTTCCGCCGCTCCCACTGTCCATGTTTCGCACCCGTACAACGCCGTGCTCCAAACATACACCTTTAACAACCTTTTTCGAATTTCTAAATTAATGGTAATTAAATGTTCCTATACTTTATTATCATATTCAATTAGCACCATCTCCCACCACATTTCCTAAAGAAATCTGTGAGAATACCCTTAACTAACAGCAACTTTTTCGAAGCCAATAATTGTACGTTTTGCTCTTATGACTATTAGGTGATAATGTGGATTGTTGGATGGAAATCCAGCATGGAAAAGGACCATGGGCACCTCCTGTTAGTGGCATTGTCCCTCTGGGGTCTACACTCACTTTGGTTGTTGCAATAAATGACTACAGAGGTAAGAAAACAATAATCATATGCAACTGTTTTTGACGTGACAACGTCTTATAATTCGATGGAGGCTGCACGTACGAAAAAACATGACTCATGCGGCGTTACCTCGCTCTGAGGCGTTCCATTTAAGGCTTGAAGTGCAAGCGAGTGTGCGGAACGAGCGACAAAGAGGCACAATCGGCCTCCGCGTTCGGCAGCGTTCGACATCTGTCACTCTCCTACTTGAGTGAGCGATGCGTCCGCGTGGACAGCTGCTATACAATAATACATTTCCATTATACATGCAAAGTATTTTCTTATGACGTTGTCACGTTCAACTATCGTCAGTAAACCGACTTTACAGACAACCGATTTTTTTAGTTTTCTTTTGACTTTTCTGAATTTATTGACGAAATCAAATTGTCGATTTCAGGTGAGTTTGACATGCGGGTCAAGTCGTGCATAGCGTCGGATGGTGCAGGTCATGTGATCCAGCTATCAGACGAATTCGGGTGCGTCCTTCGCCCCAAGATGATTTCCAGATTCTTGAAGGCTCGCGGAGCGGACGACAGAGCCTCAGTTATAACTTATGCATTTTTTCACGCTTTCAAATTCCCAGACGCTCTTAGTGTCCATATAAAGTGCAAAGTTGAAATATGCCGACACGGATGTCTCGAACACTGCCAATTACAACAACAGCAACAAGCACATCAAACAGGTAACGTTTATAGACAGTTGTCAGACGAGGTACTATACAGGGGGATGTCAAATACTCATTGGTCAAACTAATATTAATTTTGAAAGACGTTTTCGCCATTCAATTGTTGGCACGATGAAAATTGGTAAAGTCTGTAATAAATTATCTGCGAGAATAGACGTATCTTCTTTCTTGTTTCCACTTGGAACTCTAGCCCTTGTTATATTAGGAAATGCTTCATGAATAGTACAGATAAAATGAAAAGAGTTTACTGAATAATAATAGACGGTGCAGCGATTAGAGGTTGTTTAGGTACACAGGATCGGCTTTGTAACTGCCTGGTTGGAATTATATATTTAAACAAGTGTCTTTAATTTCCTAAATTCCTGAGAATTTTGAACTTTCTTCAATGTCCGATGCTGGCAAACATGCTCAAATTCTACTTGCCTGCATCTCTTTCTATTACACATCAATTGGTGTAATGTTATTCCTTCTTCTTTACTAGTGTCCGCTGCAATTGCTACCTGACATCTCTCTTCTATGTTTACGATATTCCCTGCAACATCTGTCGTGAGTAAAAGTAGGAGTTCTGTCAAAAGAAAGTAAATTCGACAGTTTTATTGCCGAATATACCAATTTTGATCGCTCCAACTATATGTAGATATACCTAAAACCTGTTGAAGGCTTAATCTTTAGACAGTAGAAACGCTTCAACGAACCACTGCTGAATTTTCAAGACAATTTCATGGTATCCCTCTCGTTCCGATAAACAATATTAAGTTAATTATAAATTAATTAAATTTTCTTTTAAAGGTGGCCCAGAATTGAATTTAGACCTGTATGATTCGGTAGATCGTAAAGATGTGACTGAGAAAAAGCACGTTTATACTTTGGGATCCAGACCATACCCTGACGCCGTTGATGATAACGATAGCTCTGACGATTACGACGATATCGTGCAAGAGGGTGAAGGGGGAGCCGCTATCGAGGCTGATTTTCCACCGGACAAGGGTCAGCTCAATTCTGGCGAAGACATCAAATCTACCAACGACATGGAGTCGATCGAAGACGAAGAAAATGAGACAACTGATTCGAAAAAGGATCCGCCGGAAAAGGTACCCACAATTTATCGTAATAATTTTCGACTTTAAGCACCGTTACATTCAACATACCTACCGCAATTATGTAGTTAGTTGAATCATTACGTCATTAAAATAATAATTTGTTGTATTATTAATGAATACCTACTCCTCGAATAGCAATGTCGCATTTAGCGCAGGTGATTTTACAATCAATTAAGTCTCTTGGTAATACTGCGGTCTAATTGATTGCACATTTTAATGACAAGGATCAGGTAAATGACCAATAATTTCAGGCGTACGTACGCTTACTAAAGTGCCCATATAACACGCTCTGGGGGACTAAAAGTAACGATTCTATTAAGTCGTTTCTCTTAAGTTGAGGCTACTTGGATTACTCCCATGAGAGTTCTCGACTGATTAGGTACCATTACAGAGCAGTGGCAAAACGAAAATTACAAAGTAATTCATTTGGAAAATTTTATATGAAAAGTACGCTATCCGCTTCTTTGTAGAATTCTAAGATTTTTTTTCCTTTACAGTTTTTCAATCACATGTGTAGTTTTTGAGTAATTTGCAATTAAAAAATAAAAAGATGACCAATCAGAGCACGCTGTTGTAGCTACAAGCACGAGTAGACCAATCACTGCTGGCCTCGTCATGCAGCTTGCAGCAAACGGAGTGCTTTCTCATTGGTTAATTTTCAATTATTGACAGCTCAGTAAATACGCATCTGATTGGAAAAATGTAAAGGAAAAAAATTGTTAGAATTACACAAGGAATTCAATAAATAATTTTCTCAAACATTTTCGGAATGCCACGCAGTAAATGTTTATAATTTATTCAACATACGGCGCTGCATAACCATTTAAAAGTTTATCTTTACACTTTGCTACGTACTTGATTATCCTTGCGCTAAAAGAATTCTAATGCCGTGAATGTAACGTGATACAGAAAATTTACGGTATATAAAATGTTGCCAATTATGTCAACATGAAAATGTTTCGCACTGGCGTGTATTAATTGCGGACATAAATTTAAAAGGAAGTGGTAAAGGATACTATGAATGCACTCTACAATTTCGTTTGATACCGCACAAACGATGCCAGCTAATTTCTTGTAATAAACTTGTTGGTTTTACACAGTTTAAAGGTAATAAATTTACGCCACTAAATGACTCTTTCCGCTCAAGTTCAAGAGTTCTCAAAGGTAACGACAATGTATGTCGAGGAAGTCGATAAAAATCCAATCGCAGAAAATGATTTTTGTTCTTTATCTTCCCCTTTCTTCAGAACGAGGTTTAGATAGATATTATTTTCTTAAACTTTCTGTCAATTTCAGAGCCCGTTTGTTTTGTCCCATGAGACCTTCCCGTATGGACCTCGTCAGCTGAAAGAAGACAACGTTCAAGTGATTCCCGCCCATATCAAAAAATTATCCGATAAGGGACTGGTTGCAGAGCCTCGCAGCATATCAATGGCCGAAAATCACGATCAAAACAAAACCTCATCATCCAATCAATTCCATAATAATACATCCGACAGTCCGATTCCAGAAAGACTTAAAAGAAGAAAACGGACCATCGTGGTATCAAATCGAAAAACCCGAAGTGCAAGCGTAGGTGTGAGCGGATTGTACGAGGTAATCTCCGAGGCCGACTTGGCCTTCAGTCCAGATACAAGAGCAGAGGCTGTAACAGTATTCCAAGGAAGAATCAGGGAAGAAGTCGTTTATGGAATATGTATGCCGATGCCTGGATTCAGTCTGCTGTTCGTCCTGGTTGCTGTTTCAGCTGTTGTGTCAGCTCTAGTAGCTGGATCGTTGCTCTACAGATATCAACTTCAGAAAGAACGAATGGTCAACGCCGAAACTCATAATACTGCGTTGGCCATGAGCACGTTTGCCAATTGGGTTCGACTCAAACTCCCGAAGGGTCGATACAACGAGAGCAACAGTAACCATCAGCATTGTAATGGTAGCGCCGAAGGATCTATGGTCTGCTCCGCCGATTCGTCGTCAATAAGTTCGAACAGGGAGGCGCGTGACCATTAACAATTTATGAAAACGATAAACGCAAGAACGAACTGCGAACAGTGTATATAAATGGTGTTGAATTGTTGTGAACAATCGGTGACCGTAATAGATTCACTTTGACATGTGGTACTTCAGTATAGAATTTATTTTCTAGTCGCAAAATGTCTATAAATAATTCATTCGCCAAGTCACCACAACCTTATAATGGTAGTAATATCTAATAATACTTCCACTGGACCAAAACAAGCGCAAAAGTGTCCATTTAAATTTTTTATTCAAATTGTCGTAATGGATAGGCAGATTCAATAACAATAATAGTAAAATTAGTCCAATAATAAACTCAACAGTAAAATATTTACTAAGTAGTGCTGGAACACCGATCGAAGTCGACAAATCTCATAAATAAATAGTTAGCACTTGATTCGATACCAATCTAAAGTTAGCACTTCTTAGAATCTCAACGCGCTTTCAATTTAAATTATTAAAAAACTTTTTAGTAACTATTTAATACCAGATTTGGTATATGGGTTTTAGCATTTTTTGAAATTTATTCAAGTCTGTAGCAATCAGCACAAAACTCTATATGAAGTTATCATGTGTGCTAAAATTAGTTGATTCATAAACCCTATTGTGTAACTACTAACTCAAGAGCGCAGGTACTAAAAAGGCACTTCGATCGGAAGTGAATGGCACCAAGCTAACTTTAGGACGTGTTAATATTTTAGTTAATTTTGATGCTGTTTGATATTCCACCCCTATGAAATTAATTAAAATTTCGTCCTAATTACATAACAAATCGTTAAAACGATATTTTTCTCTTACGCTTTTCTCCATTTGTGTTTCATGTTTCCAGTATTTACATAATTTAGTATAATTATTAAACATAACAGAGCTTACTATTCCCGATAATCTTATTATACATAGATATATACTAATTAGCTAGTTGTATTTAATTATTTTTATTTTCACCTTAATTGTTTATTTATTTCATGAGTGTAAATATAGTCTAAATATGCTCAATTTAGTTAATTAAATTACATATTTTTGAGTATCAAATAAAATATTTATATTTTTTGCTCACACAGATTCAATCGTCTCGTTTATCTGCGTTTCGTGTGTGAGATGTATATTGATTAGATATGCAAATATGGTATAGCTAACCACAAGAATAACAGGAGAAGAACAAATTACTTACAGGTATGCATTTGTGATTGTTCTTCCTATAAATCATATTTACCTCATAATCTTATTATTCGTTTCGTTACTGAGATGGAAAAAACAATTACAAAAATAGTGCAATACGACCCTGTGTAATCGAACATTAGATTAAGTCATAAAATCTGCATAAATTGTAATATATTTCACGGTTAAATTGCATACTAGCTGGATAGAATAGAAAAAACGATCTTTCTATTTAAAACGAAGTATAAAATCCGGTTGCTTTACAAACTTTTCCAAAATAACCAACACATTTTGATTTTAAGAAATATTTTAACGAACCCTTGCAATCCAGTATTAAAAAAAAAGATTTGCAGTTAATTTAATACTATTCTGATAATTTAAAAACGATTAGCCAAGCAACCATTTTAACCGTGATGTATATTTAATCACAAGAATGAAATAAAAGTTTAGAGTTAATTTTTAATTAATACATAATTTAGTTTACTGAATACATGATATGTGTATGTAAAATTATTATTGTGTGCTACGGTATCTTCTTCCAAAAAGAATGGAAACTTAATAGAGTAAATGTAGTAGTTAAAGAATAAGTTTAATCAAAGATAGAAATATTTATATAAAGACTACCTATATAAACGTGTACAGTATTAAAATTTAAGTTTAAGTTGCAGTTGTTGAAGTAATATTTAATTAATTAATTGCTGTTCAATTAAAGGTAATTGTTTCTTGACAAATGTCGACAGCGAGTGCGCAAGAACGGTTTTTGATACGTGAATTAGGCTAGACTTTTTTCAATTCACATCTTATACCTAAGTAAGGTTCAGATCCGCAAATAAAATGCGCCATTTGTTGTCGATATTCTTAACGCACAATCTTTTAAACAGAAAACAACGGATTTTTATGAGTAAAAAGGAGAAAGAATTCTCTAATGGTATAGTTTCAGAAGAACTAGAGCCATTAAATTCTTTTCGTGTTCTTGAATTTCAAACCAACTGTTAGATACTGCTATTCCATTATTGTAATGTGTATATAGTCAAGCCAATGGTACTGTTATAATGCATAAATACCTACATTCGTTGTTACTAGAAACCATCTACATTATTCTACCCTTATACGAATTCCTTAAATGTTTCTTTAAATTTTTGAAAGGAAATTAAATTAAAAAATATTGTAATTGTTGACATAACTTTTCTTTACAATTACGATTAATTCTATACTTAATATCTGTTGAAGGACCACCTAATGATTTTTATTTTTAATTGCAAATTACAGTTGAAACAAGTATTGTGCTAAAATTTAATAATAAATTATAACGTGCATTTTATCTTAATATTGCCCTTTGCCACATCGTTTTAATTACGAATTTTTAAATAGTGATTTGGTTTGGTTTCATCAACTTATTAAATTACAATTTATTTTCAGTGTAAAAAAAAATAATGCAAACCAGTGTAGGTATTTACTTTTTGTTTAAGTAAAAATCTTTTGTTTGAAATTGTTGAATTTTAACGAAAAATTGTTACTTCGAACTTAAAATTGTTAACAAACAACATATATTACTATTATTATTATTATTTATTGGTTAATAATATACTTAATTAAAGCATAATTGTGTGTTTTGTCAAAATTAAGAACTAAATAATAAAAGAATGTGACAAATTACATATTATTTTATTAGAAACAAACTAAAAAAATTATTTTATAATGGCTTTATTAAAACAGGTACAGACTTTTCAAACTAAAAATATTTATAAATAAACAATCTAAANTCTATTGACAGGGAGTATTGTAGATCAGGATCTATTTACATATTATTTTATTAGAAACAAACTAAAAAAATTATTTTATAATGGCTTTATTAAAACAGGTACAGACTTTTCAAACTAAAAATATTTATAAATAAACAATCTAAACGTTAACGTAATCATTAAATATACACATAAATAAATACAAAAATAAATAAATACTATCAAATAACTTTTATAATAAACTACTGAATTGTAAAGTCATCCCGACCAACCAAACCCTTCCAAGTTCCTTTGTAACGATTAAAACTACGTACACACATCAATACTAAGTATTATACTCAGCATTAATTGATACACATATATATACACACATTACCGCAAAACTGTACAGAATACCTCTAATACTTAATGAATACTTTATTGGCAAAACAAAAAAAAAACCGATAACAATAACAAATAAATAAATAAACAATTAAAACTCCGAAATATTACCTTAATATGACACGATCAATTACGGCGTTAAAATTTCAAATTCGCATTAATTAATTATGAGCTAAAACAATTCATGTAACTAACAGGTTTCGTCTTAACAGGGGTGTTAGAGAACGAATTGACTTTATTCAAGGGTACAAAGGGTCGTAGTTTAAAGAATAAAGTGGCTGACATGACACAGGAAATTAAGAGGACAGAAAGAAGTACAATTAAAGTGACGGCAAACCCAGGGGTGGTCATACAAATAAGTCCAGTACTAACAATTTCTTCCTTGGTAGGAATGGACGACGATGACGTTGAAGCGATACCGCCTGTGTTATTATTCTCTTCTAAAGAAAACGTTAAATCACCTGTGGATACAACCCGGATGACCTTATTGACCCCGACTTCCCTTTCGGGGTCACTGTTTTCACTCACTGCCCTCTTAATCCTTTGGTCACCCCTGGGTCTGCCAGGATGAAGATACGACTCCAAGGATAGAGCTACTGGTGGAATTGGACCGTAGGAAGCCTCAGGTCCGCTACTCGGGAAGTCCAAAATATTGTTATGAACGTGTTGACCATGAATTCCAATACCATCAGAACACTGATCTGGGCACTGGTATCTGCAGATTTGAATCGTGCATTGAAAGTGGACTTCCATGGAATCGGGGAATTTAAAGGCTTGAAAATGGGCGTAAGACAGTACAGAAGCACTGGCTCCAAAGTTTTTAATTTTAGTAAACCTCGACATAAGTTTTGGCCTAGTCACACAACCCTTTTGGTCGACAAGTTGGATCGGGGCCCTCTTACCGTCATGGGCCATACAATTTCGCACCAGCATGTCGAATTTAGAATCATCATCTTTTATGGCCAGCACCATGGTCATCGTTTGTCCAATCTTGACCAATCCAGATACTTCAGAGGCCCATGGCCCTTTCCCCACCTGAATCTGCATCCAACAGCCTACGTTATCTCCGGCAAAATCGGTTCTTACAACATCCAGCATATCCACAGGGAACGGTCTAAATGTAACAGACTTTTCGTACTGATCGTGCCACGTGCATCTCAGTTTTCTGGCCTGATCCCAGACCTCTTGTACTTGAGGATCGTACTGGATTACGATGATATTTTCAAAGTACGTTCCTGACCCTGATTCAGTACCATAACCGTACAGACCGTTCTCGCTATTCCCTGACGTACCACAAGCGTGTATTCCTATCTCAAAATGGGCAGAAGTCCGTCCAAGACCAGCCGGTAAATGGACACAATGTATGTTACTGTAGTGACCTTTGCTGAAAACGATGCCATAGAAAGGCTGATCGAAACCTATGTAAACTTTCATCAAATTCTTTTCGCACTTAACATCTAATGATATGATTTTTGGCTTGTCTGATACCGGTGCTGGCCAGATATCATTGGCGGTACCGTATTTCTCCATGGCTTGATATTTAGGAGGTAACGGAGGCGGTGGACCGTCGTATGAGTTGTGATCATATATAGGTTGTTTGGAATGATAAGGCTTTTGGACGTTATGAGACAATGGATGTGGTAGGTGACTTGGGCGGTTACCACCATTTGTATTTGATTGTCTTTGAGGTGGATTGTAGACAATATGGTTTGTTGCTGTACCATCTTGTTCGTTATCAGTTTCCATTGAGAGTTTATCAGGCTTTGTTTCGTTGTTATCCCTGTCCTGAACCGACGAACCATTTTCGTTGAGTTCTGTACTTGGAATTGCTTCCACCACTTCCACTTCTTCTGCTGATATGGTTAACTGCAATAAATATAATTAAATAATGAACAAATAGTATCAAATAAAATATTTATATTTTTTGCTCACACAGATTCAATCGTCTCGTTTATCTGCGTTTCGTGTGTGAGATGTATATTGATTAGATATGCAAATATGGTATAGCTAACCACAAGAATAACAGGAGAAGAACAAATTACTTACAGGTATGCATTTGTGATTGTTCTTCCTATAAATCATATTTACCTCATAATCTTATTATTCGTTTCGTTACTGAGATGGAAAAAACAATTACAAAAATAGTGCAATACGACCCTGTGTAATCGAACATTAGATTAAGTCATAAAATCTGCATAAATTGTAATATATTTCACGGTTAAATTGCATACTAGCTGGATAGAATAGAAAAAACGATCTTTCTATTTAAAACGAAGTATAAAATCCGGTTGCTTTACAAACTTTTCCAAAATAACCAACACATTTTGATTTTAAGAAATATTTTAACGAACCCTTGCAATCCAGTATTAAAAAAAAAGATTTGCAGTTAATTTAATACTATTCTGATAATTTAAAAACGATTAGCCAAGCAACCATTTTAACCGTGATGTATATTTAATCACAAGAATGAAATAAAAGTTTAGAGTTAATTTTTAATTAATACATAATTTAGTTTACTGAATACATGATATGTGTATGTAAAATTATTATTGTGTGCTACGGTATCTTCTTCCAAAAAGAATGGAAACTTAATAGAGTAAATGTAGTAGTTAAAGAATAAGTTTAATCAAAGATAGAAATATTTATATAAAGACTACCTATATAAACGTGTACAGTATTAAAATTTAAGTTTAAGTTGCAGTTGTTGAAGTAATATTTAATTAATTAATTGCTGTTCAATTAAAGGTAATTGTTTCTTGACAAATGTCGACAGCGAGTGCGCAAGAACGGTTTTTGATACGTGAATTAGGCTAGACTTTTTTCAATTCACATCTTATACCTAAGTAAGGTTCAGATCCGCAAATAAAATGCGCCATTTGTTGTCGATATTCTTAACGCACAATCTTTTAAACAGAAAACAACGGATTTTTATGAGTAAAAAGGAGAAAGAATTCTCTAATGGTATAGTTTCAGAAGAACTAGAGCCATTAAATTCTTTTCGTGTTCTTGAATTTCAAACCAACTGTTAGATACTGCTATTCCATTATTGTAATGTGTATATAGTCAAGCCAATGGTACTGTTATAATGCATAAATACCTACATTCGTTGTTACTAGAAACCATCTACATTATTCTACCCTTATACGAATTCCTTAAATGTTTCTTTAAATTTTTGAAAGGAAATTAAATTAAAAAATATTGTAATTGTTGACATAACTTTTCTTTACAATTACGATTAATTCTATACTTAATATCTGTTGAAGGACCACCTAATGATTTTTATTTTTAATTGCAAATTACAGTTGAAACAAGTATTGTGCTAAAATTTAATAATAAATTATAACGTGCATTTTATCTTAATATTGCCCTTTGCCACATCGTTTTAATTACGAATTTTTAAATAGTGATTTGGTTTGGTTTCATCAACTTATTAAATTACAATTTATTTTCAGTGTAAAAAAAAATAATGCAAACCAGTGTAGGTATTTACTTTTTGTTTAAGTAAAAATCTTTTGTTTGAAATTGTTGAATTTTAACGAAAAATTGTTACTTCGAACTTAAAATTGTTAACAAACAACATATATTACTATTATTATTATTATTTATTGGTTAATAATATACTTAATTAAAGCATAATTGTGTGTTTTGTCAAAATTAAGAACTAAATAATAAAAGAATGTGACAAATTACATATTATTTTATTAGAAACAAACTAAAAAAATTATTTTATAATGGCTTTATTAAAACAGGTACAGACTTTTCAAACTAAAAATATTTATAAATAAACAATCTAAACGTTAACGTAATCATTAAATATACACATAAATAAATACAAAAATAAATAAATACTATCAAATAACTTTTATAATAAACTACTGAATTGTAAAGTCATCCCGACCAACCAAACCCTTCCAAGTTCCTTTGTAACGATTAAAACTACGTACACACATCAATACTAAGTATTATACTCAGCATTAATTGATACACATATATATACACACATTACCGCAAAACTGTACAGAATACCTCTAATACTTAATGAATACTTTATTGGCAAAACAAAAAAAAAACCGATAACAATAACAAATAAATAAATAAACAATTAAAACTCCGAAATATTACCTTAATATGACACGATCAATTACGGCGTTAAAATTTCAAATTCGCATTAATTAATTATGAGCTAAAACAATTCATGTAACTAACAGGTTTCGTCTTAACAGGGGTGTTAGAGAACGAATTGACTTTATTCAAGGGTACAAAGGGTCGTAGTTTAAAGAATAAAGTGGCTGACATGACACAGGAAATTAAGAGGACAGAAAGAAGTACAATTAAAGTGACGGCAAACCCAGGGGTGGTCATACAAATAAGTCCAGTACTAACAATTTCTTCCTTGGTAGGAATGGACGACGATGACGTTGAAGCGATACCGCCTGTGTTATTATTCTCTTCTAAAGAAAACGTTAAATCACCTGTGGATACAACCCGGATGACCTTATTGACCCCGACTTCCCTTTCGGGGTCACTGTTTTCACTCACTGCCCTCTTAATCCTTTGGTCACCCCTGGGTCTGCCAGGATGAAGATACGACTCCAAGGATAGAGCTACTGGTGGAATTGGACCGTAGGAAGCCTCAGGTCCGCTACTCGGGAAGTCCAAAATATTGTTATGAACGTGTTGACCATGAATTCCAATACCATCAGAACACTGATCTGGGCACTGGTATCTGCAGATTTGAATCGTGCATTGAAAGTGGACTTCCATGGAATCGGGGAATTTAAAGGCTTGAAAATGGGCGTAAGACAGTACAGAAGCACTGGCTCCAAAGTTTTTAATTTTAGTAAACCTCGACATAAGTTTTGGCCTAGTCACACAACCCTTTTGGTCGACAAGTTGGATCGGGGCCCTCTTACCGTCATGGGCCATACAATTTCGCACCAGCATGTCGAATTTAGAATCATCATCTTTTATGGCCAGCACCATGGTCATCGTTTGTCCAATCTTGACCAATCCAGATACTTCAGAGGCCCATGGCCCTTTCCCCACCTGAATCTGCATCCAACAGCCTACGTTATCTCCGGCAAAATCGGTTCTTACAACATCCAGCATATCCACAGGGAACGGTCTAAATGTAACAGACTTTTCGTACTGATCGTGCCACGTGCATCTCAGTTTTCTGGCCTGATCCCAGACCTCTTGTACTTGAGGATCGTACTGGATTACGATGATATTTTCAAAGTACGTTCCTGACCCTGATTCAGTACCATAACCGTACAGACCGTTCTCGCTATTCCCTGACGTACCACAAGCGTGTATTCCTATCTCAAAATGGGCAGAAGTCCGTCCAAGACCAGCCGGTAAATGGACACAATGTATGTTACTGTAGTGACCTTTGCTGAAAACGATGCCATAGAAAGGCTGATCGAAACCTATGTAAACTTTCATCAAATTCTTTTCGCACTTAACATCTAATGATATGATTTTTGGCTTGTCTGATACCGGTGCTGGCCAGATATCATTGGCGGTACCGTATTTCTCCATGGCTTGATATTTAGGAGGTAACGGAGGCGGTGGACCGTCGTATGAGTTGTGATCATATANTATGAGCTAAAACAATTCATGTAACTAACAGGTTTCGTCTTAACAGGGGTGTTAGAGAACGAATTGACTTTATTCAAGGGTACAAAGGGTCGTAGTTTAAAGAATAAAGTGGCTGACATGACACAGGAAATTAAGAGGACAGAAAGAAGTACAATTAAAGTGACGGCAAACCCAGGGGTGGTCATACAAATAAGTCCAGTACTAACAATTTCTTCCTTGGTAGGAATGGACGACGATGACGTTGAAGCGATACCGCCTGTGTTATTATTCTCTTCTAAAGAAAACGTTAAATCACCTGTGGATACAACCCGGATGACCTTATTGACCCCGACTTCCCTTTCGGGGTCACTGTTTTCACTCACTGCCCTCTTAATCCTTTGGTCACCCCTGGGTCTGCCAGGATGAAGATACGACTCCAAGGATAGAGCTACTGGTGGAATTGGACCGTAGGAAGCCTCAGGTCCGCTACTCGGGAAGTCCAAAATATTGTTATGAACGTGTTGACCATGAATTCCAATACCATCAGAACACTGATCTGGGCACTGGTATCTGCAGATTTGAATCGTGCATTGAAAGTGGACTTCCATGGAATCGGGGAATTTAAAGGCTTGAAAATGGGCGTAAGACAGTACAGAAGCACTGGCTCCAAAGTTTTTAATTTTAGTAAACCTCGACATAAGTTTTGGCCTAGTCACACAACCCTTTTGGTCGACAAGTTGGATCGGGGCCCTCTTACCGTCATGGGCCATACAATTTCGCACCAGCATGTCGAATTTAGAATCATCATCTTTTATGGCCAGCACCATGGTCATCGTTTGTCCAATCTTGACCAATCCAGATACTTCAGAGGCCCATGGCCCTTTCCCCACCTGAATCTGCATCCAACAGCCTACGTTATCTCCGGCAAAATCGGTTCTTACAACATCCAGCATATCCACAGGGAACGGTCTAAATGTAACAGACTTTTCGTACTGATCGTGCCACGTGCATCTCAGTTTTCTGGCCTGATCCCAGACCTCTTGTACTTGAGGATCGTACTGGATTACGATGATATTTTCAAAGTACGTTCCTGACCCTGATTCAGTACCATAACCGTACAGACCGTTCTCGCTATTCCCTGACGTACCACAAGCGTGTATTCCTATCTCAAAATGGGCAGAAGTCCGTCCAAGACCAGCCGGTAAATGGACACAATGTATGTTACTGTAGTGACCTTTGCTGAAAACGATGCCATAGAAAGGCTGATCGAAACCTATGTAAACTTTCATCAAATTCTTTTCGCACTTAACATCTAATGATATGATTTTTGGCTTGTCTGATACCGGTGCTGGCCAGATATCATTGGCGGTACCGTATTTCTCCATGGCTTGATATTTAGGAGGTAACGGAGGCGGTGGACCGTCGTATGAGTTGTGATCATATATAGGTTGTTTGGAATGATAAGGCTTTTGGACGTTATGAGACAATGGATGTGGTAGGTG